CCGCACTGCGCCAATACACTTGGCTGCAATCAATCCAACTTGTTAAAAAACTTTTTAAACGCCGGTAACAAACATAGTATCAAAAATATTAAACCATGAATATTTATAACGGCTAAATTGAATGTGAACATTATATTTAACTTAGGTTAGCTTAGTGTTCTTAAAAGTTTAAATTACAAAAACTTCCAATGAATAGGTAACGCATTAGATAAAGCTAAGTATGCTTAAAAATTCTGAAAAATATGCCGAGTGAACTAAACTGCTATCGAAATGTAAGTTTTTTGGGAAATATCTTGTAGATAATAATTTGATTCTTACATACATATAATATTAAAAAAATACAATATGAAAAAAGCCATTAGATCATGTATTTCTTTCATTATTTCTTCAATTCTCTTGCATTATTTAAGAGCTGTACACAACAATACTGGCGCTCGTCTCTATAACCTTTCACTATGCACTTGCATAATGCTTAATTATTATCTTTGTTCTTGGCCTCATTTTTAACGCCAGAATAATAATGACTGCACCAAAAATTAAGTCAAAATTAAGATATTGATAAATGGACGGTTACAATTTTTATATAAGATGTTCGAAACCAAAAGTTCCGTTATCAACAAAATATATTTTATTCATCTCTCTAGCAGTAGTAGGTAAATATCATAGTTCATCCTAAAATGGCCGGACCAATAATATAAGAGTTGGCAGTTAGGCAGAATACGAACCGCGCATGTTTAAATATCACTAGGGCAAATGAAATAAATGTATATTTTTAGCAAAAATGTCTATTTAGACCAGGGCAGAAAGAAGCTTTTGAAAATTATAAAAAGTAAAATAAAATATCGTAGGATAAAGCCCATTGGAAGAGAAAATAACAAAAATGAAAGAAAAAATAATTTACGGGTGATCTGATCTGAATTTGGGAAGTAGGAGGGGGTGAGTTTCTAAGGGTAAAAAACGGCTTATCTTGATTTCCGGCAAAACTACACAAGTCCTATGGAAAAAAGTTAAATGGCTAAGTTGTAGGTAATAAAAAGATCTACAACTTTTGTATGTACACTTTTTTCACATAACCTCAAAATTTATGTGAAAAATTCAGATATCCGAGTTTTTGGTTTTTATTTTTATCTTTTACAAAAAAAAAAAACACGAAATCTGGTGAAACTTACCTTTTTATGTCCCAAACACACTGTAATTCTTCTGATTTAAAATATATATTTTTTACCTTATTTTGACTTAATATCGAAAAAGCACCCTAATTTTCAATCGAAAATTCTTACGTCAAAATATCTGCTTTTTTTAAAAAGGTGGGATTTTTGTTCCTTGAAATCTCTACTTTCTGATGGTGTAAAAAATATACATTACTATGGTAAATTTTGTTCAGAATTTCCATTAATAGCTCAAATTGATATATTCGGAATCGTTTTTAACGCGAGAGTCCTACTTGCACTTAAATAATACTTTTACATTTGTACTTGAACATTTAGTGAAAGCTTTCCAACATTTTGTTTTTTGTCTTTTAGTTACATCTTGGACTCTTAAATCTTTTCAACATTTTTTGTGTCACTTTTACAGAAAAGTTTTTATATTCACGGTCATACCCAAATGCCTTGCCGCAGGTAAACAAGCAAGAATGAATGGACAGTCATAGTAAATACTTATTGAAACAAAATAATTTAATACCCCTAATGTCTTCATGAATCGTTGTTTAATTAGACATATCATGCTGAGTTTTTGAGGAGTCTTAGAATATTTTTAAAATATCGTAATTATTCTTATATCTTGATGTGTCTCTTAATCAATTATCAAACCACAGCACAATGTCATGCGTATCCGGCTGCGAAGCTGAAGTTAAACTTGGGGAAAGTGAATTAATAGGGGAAAGTCTCCAAGGATTCGCAAACTGGTTCAATTTGAATTGTTAAATGCTTTTACATGATTTCTATGTGGTCAAGCCAACTCATAGGACTATAATGTTCCTAATATATGAAAACGTAATTATTATAATTCACAATACATATATATGTATCAACAATAAATATTGTTATGTTTTCCGTAAAATATTCATACGAATTAAAAATTTAAAAAGCGATTTACAGAGGTTTATCCCGTAGAGGTTATCACGTTCACCTTAAACCTTTGTAAAATTGTACCAACTACTCAATCGCTTCAAAACATGTTCTTAATTAAATAACAACTTGTAATGCGGTTAGCCGATAACTGGGCTGAACGAGCGAATCATACGGACGGAATGGCGAATAGATATATTGCAGTTTAACTAACGTCATTGCCAATTGTACTATTCCTCTTGATATGAATTTATGTAATATTTTAGTTACTAGTTATGTATGATTGTGCGTTCTAATTTAAAGCCATCTTTATACAACAGGCAAATTAGAATATGAATTAAATATTATTACAAATAAAATATTTATCTATGTATGTATTTAGTACTTTTTTGAGTAGGTATACTTAAATATTTTCATTATAAAATAAAATATGTAAGTATATAAAATAACGATGAAACGGAACTGAAACGGGCTATTTATCGCGCGAAAAATCCTCGCAATCCTCACGGTTTTTAATGTTAACTAACTAGATGTGAACTTTTAACAATCTTTATACATATTTTATTTTAACAAACTTAGTCGATATTCAAATATTAAAGAAAGCGTACCCATAAATATATATTTTTGTTATGAACAAATTTTTATTGATCAACGAATAATAATTGTGGATGTGGCATTAGTATCTGTAGATAACAATAATACTCGTAGTTAAATTTATTACTAAGTTTATATTAATTTAATTATTACAGAGCGTGTTGATGAAATAGTGAAAAGTGAAAACCCATATTTTTTTATTATTTATTTAGATATTATGTATATTTATTAATATATACAATATTATATATCGTTACTATCGAAATTATGATAAATATAACGTTCTTTTGTTTAAATTAGTTGGTTTGCAAAATATGAACACATTTTTTTACAAGTACCACTATTTTAAAATTATTTTCAGTATATACTTTTAGAAGCTATATTTCAGCCTTTATTAGCTGCTTGTTTATACGAAAGTAGGTCATGTGTTTTTCACACTTGTGGCTCATTTGTTCTTCAAGGGGTTAATACTGTATAATTATAACTATGTATTATATTCCCCGACCTAGTAGTTAGTACTTTCCTAGCGGTACACTACGTGTATTATTTGTTACGTTGTTTTATCTATAACATTATATAAAAAATTGAAGTAATATAAGATATTTTTATTTATTTATTATATTTAAAAAAATACTGTAAGCCTAGATTAATGCCTAAGAGTTACATTTACATAATATATTATGACTAGAAATCCGTTATACGCTCAATGCGTCTAGACGAGATAAAGCTTTCAAATCGAACGAGTGTAAATTAATCTTCGCAACGGTATCGGTTTTAACAGAAACTTTTTCTACATTCTGATATGATAGATGGATAAATCTTGTTTTTTTTAATACTTTTTCGTTTTAAGCTTTTATTTTCTAAGGACTTTACTATTATTTGAGTACCTTATTATATTACATTGTATCAGACAACTGAAATATTGAGACACAGAAATACAGAAAATATTCACTTCTTGATTATAAATATTACTTAATAACAGTTATTGAAGTGGCCAGCACTAAAATTTATGTTTAGAATATTTTGTGTTATAAATAAACAAAATATCTGCTACAGATTGACATAAGCATTCAAGTTGTATATTTATTGACTTTAGTCTGTTCACCTTCACTTTTATTGGTGAAAGGTTGATATTTTTAAACGATGTTATAAAAAAGCATCATATCTTTTTTTTTAAATTTTATCGAGAAAGCTTGACTTTTGATAACCGAAACAATATTTATTTTTATATATAAAACTTTGAAAATACATTTAAAGAATTAGTTATGAGATGGCAATGAAAATGTTTATTACGTGGTATTATAGGTATTGTTACATAACGTATTGCACAAATAGTATGTTTACTTTAGCAAAACTATTACTTTGTTAATTCACTTATACACTATATATTTTATAGAATATAACACTAATATTCTTAGAACTGTTTTTATTATTTTTATAATCACTGTCAATTGTGCGATAAATGTTTGAAATAAAATCACGTTGAAATTTAGAAGGAGCAATGTGATTTGTATTATCTACACATTTTCAGGTCCGTTTTATAAGAATTTGTCCATACATCGGGTGCGTTCAGGAAAAACTAGTCTAGACAGCACACAATACACGTAGTACTTTCTTTATATACTATAAGTTTAATATTTATATATATACATTATAATAAAGTAGTAGAAAAAAAAAATTCGCAAGTCCACACTCCGCACTCGTTATACGCTAATACAGTACCTAATACGTATTATTAATTATTATAGTAAAATAGTCATAAAGTATATGAAATATATTTTTAAAAGTATAACTTTTACGTATTGTGTACGGGATATAGATCCCAAAACAATCGTTTTGGAAATTTTTATCTGTTTTTCTGTATATCTGTATGCATTTCACGCTAAAAGTACAACGACACAAAATTTTGTGTAGTGATAACTCATTACTCGGATCAACATTTAGGACAAAATAGAAAAAAATGACAGGAAAATCTCTAATTCCCACGGGAATACAATAACTGGTCGGCCGAGTTGTCTTTCATACAAAATTTTTAATTATTTATTATACAAAATAATTAATTGTATAGCAGCCTACTCTCCCATCTATATCTATACATACTCGTAGTATAAAACAAAGTCGCTATCGCCCCTTTATGTATCTCCGCTTACTTTTTTATTTGTGTTGCGGCTATAGGTATTACCTACCTACTTCGACCATTTCTCGTCTATTGTGATCTTGTCTAAATCTACTTTTTATAAATCACGTGACGGATTTTGATGCGGTTTTCATTAATAGTAAGAACGATAAACGAGGAAGTTTTTTTTTGATGCTTAATTTGTAAATATTTTGTACAAAATGGCTGAGGTACGAGATGATGATATTCGAAACGTCGGGAACCAAAAATCAAAATAAATCCGCGAAATAATCCGAAAAGATAGTTTTATTTAAAATGATGATATTTTGTCAAAAAACTGATTTGTATGGTTTACAAGGCTAACACTGGCTAAATTTTAGAGATACATCAGAACAATGTACTAGAAAAATTAAGGTTTAAAAAAGGTCTGCAATAGATCTCATAAGATACACTTACAATAACTACATATTTTTATAATATATTTAAAACGTTCCGGGATGCACCCGAGCGAAGCGAGGGTTAGTCGCTAGTAATAAATAAAATTCTTAATGCGGCATCAAATTGGAAAAAATGATGAGAGTAAAATTTTTAAGATGCGCGCGCACACCGACAGCCAAAAAGCGACATGATGAAGCTACATTCCTTTTACAAACAGAGTGTTGTGACATACGGGATGAAATATTTAGCTATTTTTGTTCTCTGTTACACCAAAGAAGTATAACATCTTACGTGCGTACGTGGTTTTTTTCTTAAGAACAAATACGTATAATGTAATAGTAATTTAAACATTATACGTATGTACTTATTATCTTTTCCATATATTATCCAATGATAATTTAGCATATTTTGTTATTCTGTTAATCTAACAGTGGTTTCTTTAATTAAAACCACGGTAATATGCATTACATTACCGTGTTAAAACTGACGTAAATTTGCATTGTTATTTTTATGATTCTTGTCTATAATTATTTTAATTTTCGTAAATCGGGTAACTGTGTTATATAAACACCACTTTGGAGTTTGGACAGATAATTTAACTTGCCACTATATAGCTTGAATTGTATTGGAAGTAATAAAAACTGTTTAAACTATTTAACTCGTATTAGCCACCCTAACTCGTATGTTAGTTATTTTTACGAGTAATCTACCAGCTCTAGATAATTATAGTATTTTTTTTTATAATTAATGTACTTAATAGTTTTTTTTAAAAGAAAGTCCAAGACCACACCGCGTACGGTATATGCTAATACAGTACCTACGTATTGTGTAATATGTATTAAATTAGATTTTATTAGAAGTGCGTAATGAACCCAAGTTCAGAGTTTATAAATAACAATAATTCATTAATGGTAATTTAAAAAAATATAATATATTTAAAGAATGTTATTTAGTAACATTAATTTCTTCTTTTCCCAAATATCCTTTATTAGTACTTGCTACTTCTAAAATCGAAAGAAATTTTTGTTATTAGAGTTGTTTGCTTACTTAAGATTTATATTAAAATTTGTGTTACTAAAGTAATTGATTTATTATATGTATTGTATAAAAGGAATTATTAAATTTATGTTTGTAATAGATTTTGTCATAGTCTAGACAAGGAAGACCGGTATCATGTCTCTTGGGGAATGGGTTGCCGACCGCAAATTATGTTAGCGCGTCGCTGGACCGTAGCGTACCACTTACTACGTATTGTGAGATGCTCTTGTGTCTAATGTCTATACTTTATGAGTCTATAGTGTCTTGTTATTGTGTTTGATATAAGCATCATAAAGTGTCTATATGTGTAATTAAAAAGTGTAAATTAAAATACAAGTTGGTATTGTTTAAAAACCATCACGATCTGTTCTGTTTTCTGTCTAAGGCAAATGTAGAAATAAAAGTTTTATCGTATTGATAATATAAATATATTATATATATATATGCATATAAAAATTTACAATATTTGAGTTAATGTTTAGGCCGGTGTAACTTTCATAAACTCCCTTATTGCAACCTTTGCGGTCGTTTTTTTTTTAATTTCTATGAGTTAATAAAATTGACTAAGTTAGTTAAAGCGTAATTTACAAAGAGACCTACTCAAAAAAAGAACAACCTCATATTTTTTCCAAGTATTTAGTTGTTGTAAAATATTGAAATAAAAATGTGTCCCCCCAACACTATTAAACGGCCGAGCATTTGAAGTGTTGTATAATGATGAAAATAAAGACTGAAATATGGCGCGCTCTTCACAAGTTAAAATGAAATGCACTTAAAAGTGTAGGTTATATGTTGCATAAAAAAGTATAAATATTAAATATGATGTGAACATCTGAAAATATTTCAAATGAAGAATTACGGATGAACAAAATGAAGATCATAAAAATTTAAACCTAGCGGCAGGCCTATCCATTATCCTCGTTTAGCAGTAAATGCAAAAAGCAGTGTTCTTTTGTAGTATTCTATGTTGAAACGGGTTTGTCTAGGTATAATTTTAAAGAATGAATTGTGGACTTGGTACGTTTTGCCCAGACTATGCCCGCCATTATTTTCAGAAGTAACTTTAGTTGTGACGTTAGTGAATATAGAAATATCTTTTGTGCATCTTTCATTGTAAAATTTGATGTTCAAATAAAAAAAAAATGTTGTCTTATTTACTTCTTGTCTTTCTATGTCTAGGAATTTAAAAGCTTTTTGACTAACTTCAACTACATTTCTGGAAAACCATAAGATTATGATGTCAAATTAGTAAAAGTAATTTATATATGAACATAATTTATGTTTTCAATCCAAACTAGGTATGTATATAAAGTATTAAAATCATTTTTGAATATCATATTATTATTATTATTGCAAATTTTAATTACTTTGTGGTCGATTAAGCCGCATTTGTATTCAGTAAGTCACAAGGAGTAACGAATATAAATACAAAGGCTAGCAAAAACAAAGGGGTTTCATTAAGATTCAAAATGGGGTCCATTTAATATGTGCATAAATAGCGATAATTTTACTTTCTATATAATACAAACTTGTGAATCATTAGGTAGGTATACTATGGGGCGTGACAAAATAGGCAGTTATTATAAAAATTATCTACTTTTTATTGTGGTTGATTAAGCTTTGAAAAATATTAAAATCACTATGTAACTTTTTATACAATTATAATTTAGCGCTATTATAGGATTTATATAAGCGATATATCATATAGGTGGTACCGTGGCTTCGCCTTCGCCCGCTTCGCTTCGATGTAAAATTGGTTTCATTTTCGTATTTCCAGTTTCAGTAATCGAGATAAATTAAAATATCGACCAGTAAATTTTGCGTATTCGAACAAACTTAAATCTACATATTAATAAATTAAAAACACGAGACTTCTAAATACTGTAATAATATTATGTAACCTTTCTTTAAAAAAAATACACCACACACTAGCGCTACAGTGTTGTAATCGTGCCAATAAATTATTATTGTAAGCTATAACAAAAATGATAGTAAATTAACTTGCTATTACTATGATAACAAGCTCTGCATTAACAAATTTGTTTTACTAGATATTTACGCTAGTTAAAACTTATTATGGGAAGAAGAGCATTTGCGATTTCAATAGGTCACTAAAACGACTGCTTAAATTCGCTTATTATGACTAAGAGTGTATTATTCCCAGTTAATATATGTATGTATATTGTATATATGTTGTGCTTGTTATGGCTGCGGTTTGACCATCTGACGCAGACGACTTGGGGAAATATTTCATAAATTGATTGGATGTTTGATCCGAAAAATCTATAAATGGTATTTTAAATGAGAAATATAAATCAATACATTAAATTATTATAAAAAATAATTCATGTTAAGAATACGTAGTAATTATTATAATAAATTAACTTTTATTTTAGTGTTTTGCTATGAAACGAGAATATATTTTAAAAATTAACGAAGCAACACAAACGACGTTGCGTGACACCTTTTCAGTTAATTACATACAATCTACCCTACTAATTAGAGTTGTTAATTTTTCATCGAATAACAAACGTTAATTCATTTAAGCATGTCCTTGAATTATAAGTACTAGCGACTCACCCTTGCTTCGCTCAGGTTCCCTGTAAAAAAACAAAAAGAAGTCTATCCCACGGGAACTGTACGTTTTTCCGAAATAAAAAGTAGCTTATATATGTTATTCTGATATAAGATATATTATTAAAAAGTTTCATTAAAATTCATTCCGTAGTTAACACACAACAAGAGTAACAAACATCCATACATCTATACATCCAGACATCCATACATCCTCACAAACTTTTGCATTTATAATATTAGTAGGATTTGCCCTTCAACGTTATGTTAATTTGTTAGCTTTCTTTAATTTTTTTACTCATTATAATTTTCCTTCTTTGCAGCAACTAAAAGATGAGCTCGGCGAAGTGGTGGCCGAGCTGGAAGCCCTCGACGGGCAAGAGGAATGTAAACAGAATAGTAAAGCCAAACAGATGAGCATAGGAAGAAAAAAATTTAATATGGACCCCAAAAAAGGTAAGATAAAACGCTTACATAATGTTTTATAGATATATCTAGTATACAATTTTATGTGTATTTTTTTAGAATGACTAAGTACCTACTAATATTTTTTTCCCTGACGTATTTTAACAAGGCTATATTCTGATAAGGTTGTATTCCGGTTTCAATAAGTATATTTACATATAATTAGCTAATACAAACAGATCTTCCGGATCCTTCTAAGAGCAACTTTCATATATAAATAGCTATTTTAGTACCTGATAAAAATTACAATCTACGATGTGGTACATATAACTAGGTAGGTACTATTGTTACGCGATTATATATATATACCATGCTACAATTGCAGTGCTTACATCATAGCAGGTGCGCCGTTCCCACGGATGGGATGGTCTGCATTGTTGACATATACGGTAAATCAAGTATGCCAATGCTAAATCAACATTTTTACACCTGCTATGTCTATATGTACTAATATTATATTTATGTGAAAGTGCGTTTGTTTGTTTGTTTGTTTGTTTGTTTGTCCTTCTTTCACGTTAAAACAGAGTGACGGATTAGTGTGATTTTTTGTGTGGAGACTGTTGGAGGGCTGGAAAGTGACATAAGCTACTTTTTACCCCGGGAGATTATTTCATTCCCACGGGGAAATTCGTTATAAATTATAATACATCCCAAAAAAATATTTACGATCAGAATTATTTGAAACTTGGTGTTAATGCTCTTCAATACAATTAAACAAATACGTGTTTGAGCATTTTTCGTAATTCATCCCATAAGGGTAAAATAGGGGATGAAAGTTTGTGTGAAACCTATCTTTTTAGAGTTTTTTTTATTGTTTTAGCGCGAGCGAAGGCGCGGGTCCTTTTTTTTTTTTTTTTTTTTTTTAACGTTGGGAAATGCATTTACGCACGAGGTGTGGGACTCACCGGCAAAACCAGTACTACCCACTAAAACCCAACAAAGCCTTCCCCCGTCTTAATGGGGCGTCGCAGGATCGCTTACGCATTCAACTACGACGCCCCGACGGTAGGTCTGCCGAAGCAGACCACAACAACCACGGGGTTGCTCCAAGGTCCACTCTGCTATCAAAGAAGTACCAGGAGCAACCCGCATGGTATACCGCCCTCCGAAGAGGGCCGCCTCCCACCGCCCACCGAAGTGGGCCACCTCCCTGTGCGTTTCTTGGCTTCGCGCCCGGTTGGGCTGCCGGGCACTACTGAGCCCCCCCACCACGACAAGGTGAACGCACGTTGGGGGGGAAGGCGCGGGTCCTGCTAGTGAACCATAAAACTATGTCTATTCTTAGAACTATATCATTTTTATATGATTAATTATATTCCTATTTGTTTATACAAAACTCTTGAAATTTAACTTTGTCGATATTAGTCTTTATTTCAAAACTTTTCAAAGATCTTTGACACTATTAGCGTCTCTTTGATTTAAGTACTCTTGATATAACCGAACCCTTCAGCTTCTAAGTACCATTCGCAAAGACAGAAGCGCCGATAACCAAGGAAATAGGCAGACATTCTATTATTTATCGGGTTTTTATGCCTTTCTTCCGTGATTAACCGTTCTCTTCGTCTATTTTCAAAATAATCGATGTGAATTTTATGAGTTGGTTGGTTGAGGTAATTTCGTTTTAAGTCTTTTTTATAGTGAGGCTTAAGTTGAAAAGGTCGATTTTAGAATTGTTTTATTTGTAGCTTTAATAGATATCTATAATTATAACTGCTAAATTTGACTCTATAAGATTTAAAAATGTGCACCGATAAAAAAAATGAAAGTCTATAGCTAAGAGCATATTCATGCACACTGAATGTGTGTAATATGTGTGGTAAAGCCCTGTAAGGATGCAGGTGACGTGCCATTGGTATGTGTAATTATTTACTCATAAAACCCAAGCTAGCACTATATTTAGCACTAGCATTGCACGCGACTACGCCCGCGTTCAGATGACCAAAAATCTATCTATCTAATGTACAGATTCGGCTTAGTTACAATTTTATTATATGTATAGATTATATGCCTTCGCCTAAGACTTCTGTTCGTAATTTTAAATATAATGGTATCATTATGTGTAGATATGTGTAATTATTCATACATCATATATGTATACATATATTTTTGTTACTAATAATTTTGCAAGTAAATTTACCTATAATAGAAAATTCATTGTAAGGAGAATATTAAATAATACTTTTTACGCCGTCTGTTGTTTGCTTGTGTTTTAATGAATACTATATTAACGTACAACCCTATTAAACCTACTTAAGAGATGATAAATCGTTTTATGAACATCTTGTCATCTGCTCATTTATCAGCATTAATATTATTCTCGAAGGTCAATAAAATCAGTGCAATGTTAAGAATTCGCACAACGTGATTACTTTAAACTTAATGATAAGGGAAAAAACGTACGAAGAGAATTTATTCTTATTTTTAAACCTTTAATGATAATAAAGTACCTCAGCTAATAGTAGAAGATAGACGCCATATTACGCATTACAATCCATCATTGTGTCATCTTTACTTTTATAGGTTTTTCTAGTGTAAATTATAAAAATAACATTATAACGTTGTGGTAGCATTGTAGGATAAATCTAACGATCTTTTTATATTACTTGATAATGTAGTAGGTATAAGCTATCATCCTTTTTTACAAAATATATTATAAGTATGAAAATGATTTTCCTTTTACTAAAGTAAAATAATAATAGTAGTAAAAAAAAATATTCATAAAAAAATATAGTATTTTCATCTTTAGAAGTAATGTGCTAGCCTTTGCTAAAAAATCTTTCTGAAGGCGTATGACGTCACTAAGAGACGCCATATATGGATCCTGTGACGTCAAACAGTTAGAGCTTTTACATGCCTGCAACGTTTTCAGAATAATTTACTTTAAAAATTAAATGCAGAAAACGTTTTAATTTTTTCAAAGCTGTATCCAATTTTGTTGAATAAATAAATTACTCGGTAATATTAACAGGATCTACTAAAATATTTTCAATTTGAGAATATTAAACTGGTTTCATATTATCACGTGTAATATATGATGGGTATTTAAATAGCAAGTGCTTGCAGTACGCTTCGTTGGCTGGAATTTGTCTCTTATTACATTATACGAGTAATCAGTAGCGTCAGGTCGTATCTAATATCTTTATAATGAAAATAACATACTTTGAAAGTGTCCAATCAACCGAAGAAGATTTAAAAACTTAGTATTATAATATCTATTGTTTCTCTATCATTGTCTATTTTAAAATATTTTGTATAATTTTAAAACTACATATTATATAAAAAACTGGCGACTTTACAGATAAACATAGTTATTGAGAGCGTTCCTTAGGACATAGACACATGCTATCGCGGAGTTTTCTGTAGGTCTTTTTAAGACCTTCAATTTTTTAGTACATTATTTTGATCTATCTCGTAAGTTTTAGCAAACATTAGTAATGTAAGCGCCCAAAAATATATGACTAATTTTATGACATCATTACAAATCTTTGAAATTCTCGGATTTTCTCTACTACAATATGCATATATTATACATAGTAACATATAAATCTTCCGGAAGAAATTCTCTAAATGAAAGTGAAAATCAAAATCCGTTGCGTGGTTTAGAAGTTAGCCGCGAAACAGACAGACGAAAACAGCGACTTTGCTTTATACTATGTATGGATTATATAATATCTGAAACCCTGAAGTTATACGGCAATCTGACATTATATGTATGTTTATTTCAGGAATTGAATACCTATACGAAAATGGACTTCTACAGAGGACGCCTGAAGACGTAGCACAATTTTTACATAAGGGTGAGGGATTAAGTAAAACAGCGATAGGTGACTACCTCGGTGAGCGGTCGGACTTCAACGAGGCAGTACTTCGGGCATTCGTCGAGTTGCACGATTTTACGGACTTAATACTTGTACAGGCATTAAGGTACCGTTGGTTTTCATAATATTACATTGATCGAATAATTTTTATATCATGATTCGATCGAGTATTTATAGAACTTTAGGGGATTTCCCATCGGCAATACAATCTTAAGCGTTCAGGAGAAATATCGTTTTTCTAGACTAAGCAATTAAGGCTGTTCAATCAATTAGTGTTAGTTTTATATAGTAAAAGATTTAAAACCTCTTCGTTCTTTATAGAATTGTTTTTTTTTCTTTGTAAAAACCTTTGTTATACTTACGTATACGCTAATACATACGTATCACGTGAGTGTGCTATATCCTGTTGCACTTGTTATGCGTTTTCCTACTTCTGTATACCTGTGTATAACAAAGATAAAGAAAAACAATAACTTTTAAACTTCCGTAAAATTCAAAAATTGTAGATATTGTTGTGCGAATAGGTATATTTGCTATAATTATGAAACATTTATAGCATTATTTAACAAATATCCCATTAATTGTATTTATCAAATAAAACCCACAACATATTTTATAAAAGTAATTCAACTTAACTAATTAAAGTTTATATCGAACGCAGGCAATTCCTTTGGAGTTTTCGTCTTCCCGGCGAGGCGCAGAAGATCGATCGTATGATGGAAAGTTTCGCTCAACGCTACTGTCAACTAAACCCGGATATATTCACCAATGCAGATACTTGTTATGTTCTAAGTTTTGCCATAATAATGCTGAACACGTCGTTACACAATCCCAGCGTGAAGGACAAGCCCACGCCCGAACAGTTCGTGGCTATGAACCGAGGCATTAACAACGGTGGCGACCTACCTCAGGAGTTACTCTTGGTAAGTTAAGTTTAATTGTTATTTAATTTGTTGGGAAATGTCTTTTTACAGCGCAAAGTTTTCAATGTTAAATTATTTCTATTTACGCAATTTATATTTGCAACCGATTGTGCAAAAAGGAATAGCAAAATTAATTAGATTTATTAATTTAATTAAAACGTTTATGATTTAACATGGTTATATTGAAAATATAATTTAACGCAAGTTTTGACAGTTACATTAAAATCGTTTTTTTTTTAATTTTTATTTACCTATATTAATAATTACTATTACGATTGATTATTATTTTTATTGTTTAAGTAAAACCTTCTTTAATGTTAATTTATACATGAAAGATATACTTAATTTGTTCGACACAACATTACCTACCATATCAATTACGAAGGGTAGTTTTAATCCGATGCATTAGCCTTAAATCGTATCAACTGACATGGATTATGCATGTCCTTTGTTCATCCAACACTTAGCATTACATCTACTTATAATACTTTTTATAGCTTCAATACACTTATAAATGTAATAATATTGATATAAATCGTCGCTCTCAAATACCTACTTATACATACAATATTTCCATACCTTATGTCTTGCTTACAAGAATGAATATTTCATATGTTGAACTTGTCATATTTACCTCAATAAAGTCTAAAAACAAATAAATATTTGTTCCAATAAACATAAAATGTGTGTTTAATAACTTTTTGCAATAATAACTAGTTGCAACATAATTGAGTACCGGTTTGTTAGCAATGTTATCTGTAGTATAACCGTTACTTGTCATCAAAGTACACAAGCACACCGCTCAAGTTTGCTCAGTAATGGTGTCAATGTGTAATAGATATATATTATTACATTTTATAGATTTTATACCAGCGATAACATATTTTTTTAAATATACTTTACTATATTTTCAAAAGAACTTTATTTGTCCTACTACCCCGGTTTAGCTGAAACTCGCAAAAATAAGCGTATTGTTTAGATACAAAGGCAGAAAGTTAACATCTAAAATACTTTCTTTCTCATATTATTCTGCTCCGTTACAAAAAGTTGTTCGCTATGCGATTTGATTTGAAAAATTGAAATACAAAACGAATGAAATAAAAATGACGACACGTTTGGCTCAGTTTGTAGTGACTCTACTTGCTGTGCCAGCGGTCGCGGGTTCGAGTCCCGCTGAGGACATTCATTTGTGTGATGAGCACGAACGTGTGTACTGAAGTCATGGGTGTTTATATTTATAATGTGTATGTATTTAAAGTTATGTGTATATGTGTAGTGTATCCCCTATGTAGTATCCATAACACAAGCCTCGTAGCTTACCATGGAACTAGATGGTGCTGTGTGTTAATGTCCCAACATAATATTCATTAAAAGATATATTGTTTTTTTTAAATGACGCTATCACCACATGTGTACTGTGTAGATATACTATATGAATTTGTTTAATCAATTGAGTTACCGATGACGTGATTCTAAACATTCCATTCATCTTTATATATATAATTCTTCTGTGAGTGTGTATGTCACTGAACTTCTCTCAAACGACTGGACCGATTTTGATGAAATTTTTTGTGTGTGTTCAAGGGGATCTGGGAATGGTTTAGATTCATAATTTGAATAATAATTTTCATCAAAATGGTCCAGAATGTTTTAGCTTATTAAAAAAAGTTTGAAATTTTCAAATTAAAGACGTGTAGACAGGACAACGTCTGTCGGGTCCGCTAGTTATTGTATAAGTAAATACAAGCACTACTTTAGCTGATATGTAAAAGAACCATATTAAGTATATTAGTAATTCTTAACTATGAATAAATTGTTTCTTATAATTATCTAATACATATACATATTTAGAGTAAGCTAATTATTGTGACCCAACCTTGTTTGTTGCGATAAGACCAGTAACCCTTAATGACGCATTCAGATAATAGTGTCAATAAAACAACTCCTTATCGTACCACAAGTATGTATAGTGTATACGCTACGGGTTCTCTCGCCATTTAGTCTATTAATACATTCTTATTTCATGAAAATATGTATATTATAATATGATTAATTATAAAACTCTAATTTATTTTGTAAATTAGTTATAAAATTATATGTTACGTAAAAAGTAAAAAAATATAAAACCTTATTTAAATAAAATCTTTTACGAGTTTTATGATGTGTATCCAAAAACTCGGATTATACTTAATATTAGTGAAAGAAATTAAAAAACGCAATTTCCTGTTACACAAAAACAAATTCTTCGATTTTACTACACTTATGGATAAACTACATTGATAACGTTCATTTTGAAAAGTCAGTTGTGGCACGGTGTTCGGAACAAGTAGGTTGATTGTAGATAATATTGTGTTAAATATTGCTTATATATTCAAAACAATACTAAATGCTTATTGAACTTGGGTGCATTTTGATGAGATTCCATGATATTTATTTTATGATTTTATTAGTGGTTCATATAACGTATTTTATATTACAAACAAGAAGCAGTAGTAAGTTTTGAGTGTTTTCAGTGTATTTTAAATGTTTATTACTATGATTATGTTTGGTGGTTTTTACCTTTATGTATTACATAAGAGTAAACACAAACGTTATTATTAAATAATTTTATTTAATAATAGCGTCTGTCTCGATTATTTCAAAATGAAATTATATTTTTAAACTCTTCTTTCCAGTCTTTATACGAGTCGATAAAGACAGAGCCTTTTAAAATACCCGAGGACGACGGTAATGATCTCATGCATACTTTCTTCAATCCGGACAAAGAGGGATGGCTGTGGAAACAGGGCGGAAGGTATGTTGAAGTGTAAATGTTTTATAATATTTTTATTAATTACTATGTACATATATACTTTAATATGTATTGTTAATTTTATTTAAATAACAATTTTAATTAATTTAAATCTTCATATCAATAAATCGAGTATTTTAATATCAATTAGTAACGTAGAAATATTTTAGTCACTTCGTAACCAACTAGGCATTATCTTCTGCTCTGTTTGTTAATTCGGAGTTTTTTTCTTCCTATATACTTATGTTTAAGTTATTCAAAGCAAGTCCTACTCAATACTTTTTGCTAAATGTATGTATACGGTATACGGTAGTTTCAATAATGCATAGGCCTTATCATATCGAATACACTACTTCGGACTGCTATTTAAATACTCGTAGTATGAATTAATATGTCGTGTCTCTAAACGTAATATGTAAAATCCCTCTGATAAAGAATTATTTTAAATGTTTAAAAAGCACGTATATGATATATACGAGTGTCGGCGCGTGACCTAAAATTCTCTGAGTTTCCTGACATACATACATACATATATCTGACCAAACAACCTTACTATTCAAAAATCTAAAAAGAATGACATTACATAGAACTTATTCAACAACTCAACTTCGATATTCATCAATAGGTAAAACTCTGATTCCAAAATCGGTTCAGTACTTTTTGCGTGAAACGCGCACTTCACAGGCTTCTCCTGGGCAAACTCGCTAGATCATAGACGTTATCTATGCCTTCAAGCTAAGATGAAGGTCAAGAGTAAGCCAATTATTAAAAAAATAAAAAATATCGATTTCGCTAAGTTACTGTTTTATTATATGTATGGACTATATATATATATATATATATATATATATATATATATATATATATATATATATATATATATATATATATACATTGGCTCTGGCTTTACTTTTTTTTTCTTTTTCGGACCGATTTATAATATGTCCTTTTCTTAATGTATTCTATTTAAAATTTCAGATACAAGTCATGGAAGAGAAGATGGTTCATATTAAACGATAACTGCCTCTACTACTTCGAATATACGACGGACAAAGAGCCAAGAGGCATCATTCCATTAGAAAATATATCGGTATGGATTTTTATTCTTAACGTTCCTTTAAGTTTTAAGATAATTCTGCCGTCATATTATGAAGGGGCTCAACTAATTGTTTTTTTTTTACTTCAAAATTTACGTAAATATATTTGGTGCTAGAAGATTTTAGTGTCATTTAAAGGACTCAAAATTAGTTTTTTTCATTACCATATCATTAATAATAATGATTACCATTCAGTAATATTTTCCTAGGAAACGATGATCTTTTTATAATCATTAGCTAGTAACTTGTTTTTGTATTTTCGCTGCTAATTTTATTAATTGGTAATCAATAACAGTCGATATTAGTTCTAATGAAAATGTGATTACTTGCGATTTCCTTGTTTTGATTTTAAAATTAGTATGTACTTCATATCAATTTAAAAACCAGATAATATTCTGTTCATCAGTTCTTTGCTTTAATACGATACAATAAATAAAACCAGTTTTATTACACTAGTTTATTAACTACCTTATTAATGGTTATTGTAATGACTTTAAATATCAATAATGCTTTTTCTATCATTATTTACTTTATGTAATTTTGTTTTATAATATCAACACTCACATAAATAAATCGTATTTCTTTTTCAAACTGCAATCATATTTTTTATTATGTGTTTAGTGTTTGTGATTTTGAACACCTTTGTTAGATTTATATGATTGCTTGCACCGATGTAACTTTTAGCGACCATTTTTAAGATTTGATTTTTTTGTTTATTCGCCTATATAAAAATTATTGCATGAACTTTAACAGACATATGTATATTACAAATATTTAATATTATATTTAATGTAATTGAGGGGTTGCGCAGAATTTTTGTTTATAATACTGTTGTAATTTCTTTATTTCTACACTCATATGAATATAACATGATATTTTTATATCTCGCTGTTTCTTCTCAACAGAACCGCTTTCCGAGTCAGTGGTAGGTTTCTCACGAACTGACTCTTAATTGAATTGATGATTCAAAAGTGCTTGTTTTAGTGTAATTGAATTAACTATTAGGTCCTTACATATGAAATTGGCGTTTTGTCGAACTGGCCCCTTTTAGAAACAGCTCGAAGGAGTAATTATGTCTATGAGGAAGGTACTGTAAAAGAAAAGGATACGTTTTTTGTTCCAATGTTTTCGTAATAAAAATTTTGACCTATAGAACGAACCTCGTGGACGGTCGGACACCCTAGTTGATGAAATGAAGAATTAAAAGTGATCGTGGAAGCGGATCCATCGCAAACCACGTCAGAGTTAGCGGCAAGCGTCAGTGTGAGCGCTAAAACAATTTTAATTCAATTGAAACAAATTGGAAAAATGAAAAGCTCGAAAAATGGGTACCGCACGAATAGAGTAAAGCACACCAACAAACACGATCAACACATTGAGTGCTGCTTTACTTTACTCAACCGTCACAATAACGGGGAATGAATGAATCGTATCTTTACTTGTGATCAAAAATGGATCCTGTAGGATAATCGGAAACGTTTATCACAATGGTTGAAGTTCTCCTGGGGAACAGGCCAAATCCTGCCCCAAGCGAAAGTTGACTTAGAAAAAGGTAGTAATAAATGTCTGGTGAACCAGTTCTGGTGTCATCCATTACAGCTTCTTAAGATCTGGCCAGACGGTTACGGCAGATCTATATTGTCAACAATTGCAAACCATGATGGAAAAGCTAGAAGTCAAACAACCGCGACCGGTCAATTGCTCTAGCCCACTGCTGCTTCAGGACAACGCTAGACCACACATTGCACAACAGACGGTCGCTAAATTAGAGAAGCTGCTATTGGAGTGTTTCCGACTTCCACTATACTCCTCGGACCTTGCTCCAAAAGATTACCACTTTTACCGGAATTTGGACAATTATTTGCAAAGAAAAAAATTCTATACCGATGAATAAGGCTGTCAAAACCGTCTTCAGAGATTTTATTGATTTTCGCTCCCACAGTTTTTTTTAGCAATGGAATCAATGAACTACCTATAAAATGACCAAAGTGCATAGATAAAATGGTACATACGAGTACTTTGATTGATTAAATATATAATTTCATTTTGCTTATTCTATATAAAACGCCAATTTCACATGCAGGGATCTAATATCAAATTATTATCATTCCATTATACTTGACCAGGTGCGCGCGGCGAGCGACCGGCAGCGGCCGCACTGCCTCGAGCTGTACGCGAGCGGCGGCGCGGACCTCATCAAGGCGTGCAAGACGGACTCCGAGGGGAAGGTGGTGGAAGGCAAGCACACTGTATACAGGTTCGTACATGAATACCTTGTTGCTATAGAGTACGCTTGGTTGGTAGTATCAAGTTCTTTTTTTAATGCATTTGTGCATACCACCTGTATGATAGACATACAGGTGGTTACGTGGGACTCACCGGCTGGAATAGTCAGTACGACCCACTAAAACCCAACAAAACCATCTCGCAGGATCGCTTACGCACTCTACTACGACGCTCCGACGGCAGGTCTGCCGAAGCAGACCACAACAACCACGGGGTTGCTCCACAGTCCACTCTGCTATCAGAGAAGTACCAGGAGCAACCCGCATGGTGCACTGCCCACCGAAGTGGGCCGCCTCCCTGTGCGTTTCGTTTCGTTAAAATTCGTTATTGATACAACGCGTTAATGCAGATTTATATGATAGTGAAACATAAAACACTCTTATATAAAGTAGCACCTCTTTTTATTAATGTTATAAGTAATTAATTAGCAATAGTAGTTTATATAAATAATAGATTTAAAATTTTAAACAATTTGTATGCCGAAGATTTCATTGATGTAAGTTAACTTATGATTTCGGATTCGTTTTCAAAACGAAGATTTATCATTTTTGTATATTGTTGTATCATTTCAGCAAATTAAAATATTTTATAGCAGGTGCTACATACATACATTCTTATAAATTAGTAAATTTTCCGTTCAAAAATAATAAAACAGTATATTAACACGTTGTTAAATCTAATAGTCATACATTAAAACATAAAAGCTAGAAAATATCAGATTAACAAGGCTTTATAAATTAAAGTATATATGTCTTATTATTTAGTTTCTTTGTTTCATTTTTTCTTTTTATATTTAGTTTGCTTAAGGGGGCACCGAGCTTTTTATTTAATGAGAGCGACAGCGGGCAAAGGGGGGGGGCTAGGATGGGCGGAACGCGTGCAAATTTAGGTATTTCCTTCGTATTATTAAAAGAAATACACATTTTAAAAATGTAACGTGTATACGTTATAGAAAATGTAAAGTTTTGTTATTATTAAAAAACTGATGAACTTGCACTAAGAGTTTATTTTGTTTTTTAGAGGTCATTTTGGATTTTTTCTATCGAGGAAACTACAAAAAATCGTCTTTCTAGAGTGTACGACTTATAGAACAAACGAATTATCAAACATACGCAATTATTTCGTTATTGCCTCGGTGCGCCCTTAAGTAGTATCATTTATACATGCTCAGATGATAATGTTATACTTCCAATTCCATAAAATTTCTGTTTCTTTTCTCGTGATGACACCTGCTACCTACCTTATAACACAAAATGTGTCATCTCATCACTTCAAAAAAAAATTGCTTAATGTGTACTTCATTTAATTGTGGTGCATTATTAAATATAAACAATATAAGAATAAACGATTAATACTATTTAATTGTGACTATACTTAGCTCTGTTATTGAATACTAATATAAGAGTTCGAGAAGTCCTAAACAAATTTATGATTACATTAGTTAACACTTTTCAAACGATGATACTTCATACTTCATAGTGATGACTCACAAGTATATTTATAGATGACAGTAGCATACCTACCATACCTTAGCCAACACTATTTATAATGTTGATCTTTGTAGCTGATTGTAAAGTACAATGCGGTATACAAATATGTTAATAGTGACTAATTTAACGTGTATGTTTTAAGGACTACTTTTAATAACACTTTGTCATATATAAACTTTAAAAACATCCAAAGTACAAGCAAATATACATTCTGATAGTATAATTTTTAAATTACATACTTGTAATTAACTAATTACCCTACTTTTGTTATATCTATTGACCTGTTATGAATATGTAAAATATGAGTGACGATAATAATAATTTGATACAATGGAGCCGATCTGTGGCCATCCATTTGACTCCATAGTCACGAGTCCTAAGTAAAATTCCATACACTAAAACCTTGTTTAATTCGTGTTATCAAGATATTATATTTTCAAAACTACAATTATTTGTTTCAGAATGTCGGCAGCTACAGCGGAAGAACGCGATGAATGGATCGAATGCTTGCGTCGTTCTATTAGCCACAACCCGTTCTATGACATGCTTGCTCAGCGTAAGAAGAAAGCTCAGCACAACCTGCACTCCGGTTCTCACTAGCGTAACATCGGTTCACAGCAATACTCAGCGCTTTTCAGCGCACGTTCGCGCTGTTTACCGTTGGATGCTCATTCTGTGTCAGCGCCAGTCAGCGCTTTAAAGCGCATGTTCACGAACGTGAAGAAGAAGAACGTGCTTGTACATTTTGTGTCAGCGTCAGTCAGCGCTTTAAAGCGTATATTAGCCCGGTTAGGGCAAGTCAATACTCTTCAACGTACGTGAGCGCTTGTCGGTGCACTTAACTACATATTACTTTCATGATTTTATACTGAACATAAATTACGTGAAAGCATAAGAACATTTTTTTCAACACCAATAAATTGATAAGTTACCGATAGACGATATATTTGTGTTGAAATTTGATTTAAAAATTTAAAGACTAACTTAGTTAAAATATACTATGAATCTAAGTTAAGTGTTGTAAAATCATGAAATGTAATAAGCCCAATTTACGTGCATATATGTTGTATAGGCAAATGTTTGAGAACAGCTGACATGAATACATCGATATATATTATACAAGAGTATTTTTTACAAAACAAAGTTTTTACCAATAAATGATAGTGCTTAACCAAAAACTAGGAACACTCATTAAATACAGTCTTCTATACTTAAACTTACGACAAAGTAGTTAACAATTAGGCGACTATCTAAGATTTAGAACACCAATCTTTATTTATATGAAGCTAGAATTTCTTTTTGAGTAATGTTTTTAATGTAACGTGGCATATTGAGGTTGAATAGAAATAGGAGAATAAAGTATCAAGAAAGTTACAGTTACAAGGAGTGTATACACATATGAAGCTTTAGACAACTTCTATGAATTGAGCATATAGGTTGTAAGAAAAGGGACATCTGATAATTAGTAGTCAACAATGTTGAGAATTTTTTTCTTACTTGTTATTTTAATGTGTTTGTCTTGGAAGCGACTAATTAATATTATCGACTGAATAAATAATTCAAGTAGTATATATTATATTGCTTTTAACGATTCTTGATGGTGGTATTGAACAAGGGCTGCCAGTATGGACAACTGCTGCCAGTAGAGCCAACTTATTTTATACCGCTGGGTCACTCAAATTATACCAAATCAAACTTTATTATACAAATTAACAGAACTGTTGAGTATGTGAAGAATAAAAATATTCAATAAAAATATGTAATACATAAAATAACCATATTTTACAATTTTCGTATCCAATTATACGATCTGGCAGCCCTGTATTTAAACATCCAAAACACTAATAGCTTTCAGCTTAACTATTTATTAAATGTCACAAATACTGAAAACATATTTAATTATAAGATCGAAGTTTGAATAATTGATTGTACGAAAGAATTAAAATGAAAAAGAGTTTATTGTTCTTGTTACCGACAAGATGCATTTTGGCATAACAATGTTCACACAAATCACTTATATCTGCGCATTTCATGCTCTGCCTTGTTTTTAAACTATTTATTTTATATTTCATAAGAAGATATAAGTGAATTGAATACTGTAAAGTAACTAAAGGAATAACGGAAAATGCGTCTAGTCTCGTAATTGATTATTTTTTCTGTATTATTTTGTATGAACGGCCTCGTCACTGAAACTTAGTAGACATTCATAATTAAGGTAGTGGTCCAAAATTATGTATCTACATAGTGCAAATATTTCATATTGTGAAAAATAGAACTTTGCATGACCACATTGTAACTAAGGTACTTGTTTATCTAACAAATTTTATTTTACTCTTTAGATTCTTGTTATACTATACATGTATGATATACAAATGTTCCTCGGGTACTAATTTGTTATAATAAAAATTCAAATGACAGTCATGCATAGGAATAAAACAATGGAGAAACATGAATAATATTGTGATATTTACAGCCATAATACGAGTTGTAGTTGTATACTGAAACGAACAATACAATATACATCATCAGCTAGTAGTTCACGGTGTATGAAATATGTCCATGTAAATAACGAAAGCAAGACTGAAAAATTATTGTATGGAAACAATTGCGTCATTACTAGATTATATCATAGAAATACGGCCTTTTTTTGTGATGTTTTTGAGTTTTTTTATATTTAATTTGTTATGTATTAACGATACAAATATTCTAATATCATGAATTTATTTAAATCTTAACATAAAATCATGTTCATCTTGAAATATGTTGTTTATTGGTCACAAATACATGGAATATTTGATGATTGATTATATTTTAAAAAGCTTGTGCTTTTATGATATAATTTTTTAAAGGCTGCAACATAATATAACCGCCCTATTATTGGCATAATTTGCAATGTTATTTAAATTTTGAACGTGATTTTCTAGTGTACATTATATTTGTAATAGTTAGGATTTTACAAATTTATTGATTGCTTCTCGTTGCTTTGACAATAATTCGTTTATTCAATGGTTTGCCAAAAATCGGAAAACCGTATGGTTATAATGATTAATGATTATTAATTATACACACCATATATTATATCCATTAGTTGAAATTTGTATTTATTAAAAGTATTACGTCATGTATCATATAAATAGTATAGAGGTAGTATAGTGTACTATATGTAGTTATCTTATATATTATTGTGTACATAGGGCTTGGTAGGTTTTAGAAGCTAAACTAGATATTTACTAGAACATTTGCAATTTCTTTAATTTTTACATTTAATTTCAATACTTCCAAATTATTTTTAAATATTATTTTTGAAATTAAAATTTTAATTTGGTTATTTAAAAATATCTGTTGTGTTCGTGTAAATGCATGTAGTGTGTGAGAATATTGCGATAGACAATTGCGTATTGTTGTTGTGATGTCATATTGTTTGGAAGTGATTTGGATATTATATAATGATTTGACAGCTAATTCTTTTGTTTCTGATTCATTTGCAATCTTTCTCTGTATTCTAGTTTTCTTTCCTGTTTTTTTTTCCCTTTTGCAGTAGCAGTTAGTCTAAAGAGTTTTGTTATAATTCATACCGTCTCGTCCTCCAATAGTTTATATAGTCTATTTTTCGATATGTTATTTGTTAATTTTTATCAAATAATATCTACTTTAGCTATTGAATCAGTTTAGTTTAATGTTAACATTTGAGTCAACGTGGGAAATCATTATTGCACAACATAATCGTCAATTTCATAATGAATGTAAATATTCGTATAAAACTAGTTATATATTTAGGTTAAACAAACACGTATTTAGGGAAAGGTGCCTAATGATCTGTAATTAGGTAAGTTAGCGTAGGCCGTAGGCTAAGCTGTGTACATTCGCGTTCAATATTAATTTATCTCAATTGTATTTGTAGTGATTTATAATTGTGACAACAGATGTGCATAATAATGGCGTTGTAAATAATTTTGTATGAAACAAATACATTATTATCATTATTTATTGACTTGTTTTTTTTTCTATCCTCAGGGTTTTTATATGTGCTACGCAGATGTCAACTATGTTTTTACACTCTCGTTGTAATGTCAATGATCTCAGTATATAATATATTAATAAGTACATATTATTATAAGTCTCTGCTTTATCACACGTTTTGTTATATCTGTTATGTATGTAGCTTATTTTAAGGAATAATTAATTTTCTTAATACAATAAATTTCTTAAATTCGAAGTCTATATTAAAAAAGATAATAAAAAACGACTTTCAGGCATTAAAGAGTAAAAAATAACTAAACGGGGGTTTTCATTTGGAATAGATACCTAATCAGATATTTTCGAAGTCGGTGCCAGCCAATACAAATCAAAGCACACCGATTTCGAAAATTATAATCGATAATTAGTGTAGACATAATAAGGTAATTTGTAAGAAGATTTTTTTTTATATCGTATTCGATTAAGTCATTCATTTAAAAATAATTTATTCTTGATTTTTTTAAAACCGCTTGACCGATTTCAATAATAATTTAAATGGGACCACCTGGGAAGTATATCATTTGAAACAAAAAAAATAGAATTTCCCAAATCGGTTCAGGCGTATTTGAGTAACCGGTGAATATACATAAAAAAACATTCCAACGAATTGAGAACCTTCTTTTTTTGGAAGGAGTCTGTTGATAAAATAAATATGTGGCAAGAGGACATTGACTGAAGAATGCTATGAATAAAATCAAGTAAAATTTTTTATCGTTATGACCTCAGAATATTTAATTTTTTATATTATATATATTGCATAAGTCAGCATTACATGTACATATGTATGTATGAATAATTTACCTAATAACTTACTATTACGATACGGTCATAATTGGTATTTAGTATGATGATTGCGCATCGTGAGTTATAAATTATAAGAAAATATTAAAATTCATTTTACTACAGCTATTATTATTTATTGTACCTATAGCTTTATTGAAAAACAAACTAAGACGCAATATTATTAAATTATTTATTCAGACTAATCACGTGTTTTATAACCATATTTTTATCGATAGTTTTTTTATATGAGAACGTTATGTATTTATAATATGCTGCTTTAATTGCGGAATTGCCAGTGAAAGCTAATTACTGTACTACGCTACTTTAATTCCAATTTTTGTTAATGGCTTTTAATCGGTTTATTTACCTAATGGAAAATATACAATGTTCATAGATTGGTAAATATTGATATACTATATGTATAAAGATAATAGTATTGGCTATTCGTATCAACGTAAAACGCGAGCAGAATCGGCGATAAGAACTAGTCTAGAATAAATACGTATGGTAACTAACAATATGTTATAATATTTTGAAGCTTAAATAATTTACGTTTATATAACTTACTAGCATATTGTCCGCGGCTCTGCCCGCGTTTAGATGACCAAAAACCAAATTCTTAGGTTTTACATATTAGCATACTCTTACATTGCAGTTTTTGTATTTTTTCTCAGAAATAAGATATTTTCCCGCGGTAAAAAGTATCCTATATGTTGATCCGGATAACCAGCTATCACCATACCAAATTTCATCAAAATCCTTCCAGTAGTTTTTCTATGATGCGGTAACAGACAGAC